TTCGTGTAATAACGTATAACGAAAAAGAATAAAGAAGGGAAGACTAGATTCGATCCGAATCTTTTATTACCCTTGCACACCCGTCGATATGTATAGTTTTTTGGCTGTATGATTTCAGTGGTTTCGTTTGTATACTGCGTATGGGAAACACATACCCTTCTCCACGTGGGAGATACATGTAAAAGCGTTGGAAACATTTTCTTGAAATAAGCGAACAAAGCTTGGTATGATCCACATCTGGCATCATGGTTACGCCAACAAACATGACATCACTTTTTTGCGCACTCAAAGTAACAGAAGAGAGAAGAAAAGAAAAAAGAGGCAGTTAAAGAGAGCAAGTACAGCTATCTCTCTTACTACTGGCATAAGTAAGCTCTCTCTCCCTCTCTACTTTTCTATCTCGCAGCAAACCGAAAATAATAACAAAAAGAATACAAAATTAAAAAATCAGAAAGGAAAAACATAAACACGTAACCGAGAATGGGGGAGGGCGAAGCTGGCTGATAGATGAAAATAGATAAAAAGGAATAAGATGACATACTATACATACTGTCAAACCATAATGCCCTCTTATCGATGGTATCAATGTTTTGCTAATATTATGATAGTATCGAGCTACAAGTTGTCACGTTCCCATTTCTGCATTGTTCTTAATTTGATCTAAAAGATTTTATAGTTTTGACAAATTTTTTAACAAATTTACTGATGGCAGGGCCGACACTGCCAGCGGGAAAAGCCTGGAGCACAATGCTTAAAGTTAAGATTTCAATTTAAATAACACAGCGCACATGACCCAAGCCATATATTTATAGCACTTACTACCACCTCCTCATACCCTTACACTCCCCTTGATTTATGATTTCTTATACATTTGAGCATTAAAGTTAGTTGATATTATTTCTGAGTGTTATGGAGCTACATATGTAGATAAGTACGAAATTTTGACTTTAAAAACTCAGGAAAAGTCGAAAAAAAATTATATCCTGTGTCCTCTATTTTTTTGTGTATAGGTGCATTAATTTGGCGTCGTTCAAGGTATCGCTCATTAAAATCTGGAGAGACTTTGGAGCTAAAATTCGTTAACCAAACCTAAAAAATAAAAAAATGAACAAAAAATACCTTTTCGATGGTTGCGGGCCCATTTTCGACTTTTCCTGACTTTTTAAAGTCAAAATTTCGTAAAAAATACCGCACAAAAATCATCATTTTTGCATTTCAATGCTTTATATTTCCCAGACGGTAAGCTGTAATCACAAAGTGTTTGGGCTTAACTTTAATTATCTTTTCAAAATAGCAAAGTTCTTTACAACCAGACGTAAGATACTAGAGCTATGTGAAAAAAACCAGCGCTACCTCTGAAAAAAGCTTAAAAAAAATACCAGTTTTCAAAAATTCTTCAAAAAAAAGTTCTGCCATAGAAAAAAAAAAACAATATTATCAAACCATTTCTAAGCCCCAAATCTTGAAGAAAAAGTTCGTTTTGTTCCTTGAGGAAAAATCGTGTTGACTAGTGTAATTATCAGTGATAAGGGGGTCGCATCGAAGATCTATGACGAACAGAGCAATATGCAAAAATAAAATCACATGGGGCATTGGCTAGTACCTTACTTGGAAGTAGAAAAATTATAAAATGTTTAAAACTCCAAAGAGATGAAGTTTTGCCCCCATTGCAGACTTTATAAATTGAGAGTTGGTATTTGTAGTTTTAAAGCTCTAGATTAGATTAGCAGCAGTAGAACAGCAGGCTGAGACGCAGCAACATACTGCTGACCATTATGAAAATATACAAGGTGGTCCCGTCCCTCTCTTTGGGTTCTTATGCCCACTCACACAAATCAAATTTGTGTTTGTTGTTGAATTTGCAAAATAAGCTCCGAAAAGAGAGCGCATTGCGGCACGGGACTACCTTGTATAATTTCATCATGCTGCTGACCAGAGGCACAATTACCGTCAGCATTACAACATAGTGACAATGGGCGATGTGGTGGCTATTGCCGCTACTTCTGCTTCGGCTGTGGAGAGCGCTGATGATGGGAGGAGAGGAGGGGCACATTCATACATAGTCGAAGATGATGATGATGTGCGCTCTATGCATGTCAAGAGTGTGCCTGCCTTGGTCGTCCATGGGTACCGGAAAATCAATTGACGGACAGTTTGAGATGTACTTTCACAATGTATATAGATATATGCAAGTCCCCAAGCGCAGAGATGTGGTATGTGTGTCATGTATGTATGTACATGTAGAACGGGGCGATCGAGTTTCTATCGCTTATTTTAAAGAGAGACCCAAAACAGAATCATATCAGGAGTGGCAAGGCAGGGCAAACGGGTAATAGGACAAGTCCGAGGTCAGTTGTTGATGCAGCCTCCCGCCTCCATCGGCAACACTTTACCACATAATCGATAATTATCGATTATAATTGGAAGAGCGACAGCACAAAACCATTGTACGAGTACTTACATATTTACATATACATGTGTATGTATGTATGTTCAACCACGTATTCTGAAGAGTGTGCAGGCGTATATTCGATTCGGGCAGAGTTACAGTGAGAGATTTCAGGAAGTAGGATTAGTTTAGCAGTATTTGGTCGGATCCCAATGAATTAAAGGAATTTCTATTCTATTTCGTCAAACAAATTCGACCAGCAAAAATTACAAACAAGCCCATCCCATCCACAATCGAACAAAATCGCCTATCATGTTCGCCTGCGGATCACCTTTAAGAAGAGGTACATATGTATGTATGTACATATGCACATATGTACATATGTTTAGATATTACCTTTCACAAGATATGAAGCGCTATTCGACAGCTTTATATGTAGATCAATCTACCTATGAACGTACATATGTATATCAGTGGTCGGCACACACACACTCACATGGTTTGCAATGCGTTTGTGTGCGTAGACAGCAGGCAAAACGGAACAATTTAATGGTTCCAGCTACTGTAATACGCGTGTACGTGAGCGGCAGCGCAGCAGCAGCGCCTTTTCGCGCCTTTATTTAAATAAATATGTATGTACAATCATCGTGAATAGAGCATTAATACTACCACAACGAGTAGTCATTTACAAAAATGTTCCAATTCTTTTTGGGAAATGGGTATGATATCGACTATAGTTTATTTTATTTCTCTGTGGCTGACTAACTGTAAGAAAGAAAGTTCTACAGCAGGTGACCGCTCTCTAAGCTTCAAAGCTGGATGACATCACGCTTGACTCGACCAGCGAATTAAAGCTCTCCGCAAAGAACACGCACACATTTATAAGCATGTGATGCGCTGAATAAGCTGCTGTCTGTTGTCCGTCTAGCAAAAAGGTCACCAATGTGTGGCCTAATCTCACCAAAAGTGGAAGAAAATACAGCAAAAATTAGAGTCATCTTTGCTTTCATCCGTTAATGTGAGTGGTAGTCCCGACAACTATTTTTGATTTAAATCTGGCTAAAAAACAGTTTGTCTGAATTTTCCTGAGTTTAATTAAAAAAACAAACATTTTCTTGCCCAAAATCAAACGCCGTGTAGAGCATGAGAAAAGTAGAGAGAGAATTAACTATTTTTGAAATCGATAGGTACGCGAGTTATCGCTTTAAATTGAGGATAACAACAAAAATAACTGATGAGGGCGACGCTCCCACGCCCATAGCCCATAGAACACAGATACAGAACTGCAGCCGAAAAATATGTTGGTCAACTACAACCAACTGAAGTTTGACCCACATTTATATTGCTTTATTATGCACACAAACACACATATATACACGAACAGGCACACTTAGGCGGAGAGATAGAGAGGGTGAAAAGTAGACGGGAACAGAAAGTCATTATGTAATAAAGTGATGACGACGCAGCAGAGCTTAACGGTATTCCAGTAGCCAGTCCCCAACACGACAACTGATAGCGGCGAAGTCGGCTGCAGCGCCAGCGCATTAAAAACTTCAATTGAAGTTTGTTCCGGCAGCGGTAGTGATGGTGGAACGAAGCAGAAGAAACACCAGGAAGGGTACCGAAGCGAATAATACCCTTTAAGATGCGTTGCACATACATAAATATATTGAAATATAATCAGAATGAAATTAAAGTATCTTTTTACGATCCGATTTAATTGCACTTGGAATAATTAAGTAGACTGCATGCTAAATAAGTTTAAAAATATAAGAAACCGAGTTTGCGCTGCAACAAATCTGTTCAGAATCACTATACCACAAGCCTTATGCCCATACATGGAAAAAGGGTAACAAAAGGACGATGGAACCCAAAACAAAGATATGAAAAACCATCTTACAATTGAATTGATAAGAACACAGATAGAGAGAGAGCACACAGCGACCGTCGTGTGCATGTGTACATGTCTTTTTAAACGGAACTGGCAAACCCGCGTAATTATCGATTTAGAAAATATTTTGTGTGTTTTAAGCCAGGAAGCGCCCGGAGAAAGGGGCACAGAGTGCATGCTTTCTAGGTAAAATGGTTGCTCTTTTGCATAGAAAAAGCGGCCGGAGAGGGACTTAGTTATGTATTGTCCCGAAAAAGACAAAAAAATAAAAAAGCAAATGTGGGGTACACAAAAAAGCGAGCGTGAAAGTGAAAGCTGCCAAAAGACATTAGACGGATGGTTTAATGAGGTAAAAGTAGGCTCTAATTAAGGGCACATAAAACCATGCATTTGGCATAGAAATACAGCCACAATGGGAAGGGGGAACGGAATTCATTAGTCGAATGTCTACTGTCAGAATACAGATTACTGTCAATCAGCCAGGGCTGAAGTTTAAGTCAAATGATAAATTACATGTTTATAGATAATTATACCAACAAAAATAGGTATACATATCTTTAAAATTGTGCATACCAAAACCGTGTGATCTGGATTTATCTCTAATAAAATTAAAGATCAATGCGTTCTTAAGACGATAATCCCTATTTATCCTGAAGAAAGAATGACAGCTCTCCAGAGGATATCGTCTTCTTGACGATATATATATATACTGATACTTACTCTTCTTGAACTTCAATGCCGCTGTCGTCCATATTCAGTTTTGCATAGTCACCGTGTCCGGCTACCGGAGGCTGCGACTGTGAATGCAACTGCGACGCCTGCTGCGGCTGACCCGCGGCCAAAGCAACGCCATCTGCCGCGGAGGTCGCCGCCTCAAAGCCAAAGGTCGCCTCCACGTGCTCCGACAGCGGCGTGGGCGTCTCAAAGACCAATGTCTCCACCATGGATCCCTTGGAAGAGCCAAAGGAAACTCTGCAGGGATAGAGAGAGAGAGGTTGCAGTAGAGTAGCAGAGAGAGAGGGGAACATTGTCAGCGTCACGGGAGAGAGTAACCTACCGCTTGAGGCCAACGCTTTTGGTTCCCAATTTGCTCAGTTTTCCGGGTTTCTTCGGGTTGCCGGTGGCGGAGGCGGATGTTGCGGGTGGGCGTGGAAATCTGTCGCTGAAATCGCTGGACAGATCATCGCCAGCGCCGGCTTTGACGTCACCGTCAGCATCACCGTCCGCAGATATCGTATTGTTCTCGTTGTTGTTGTTGCTGCTGGCGTTGGCGTTAACGGCACAGCTGCTCGCGCTGGCTTCGCTTCTTGTATTGTTGTTGTTAATGTTCTGCCGCTGCTGGGACGGATGTGTCGACGTCGTGGTGGTTGTATGAACAAGTGGCAGCGTTGTGGGCGGAGAAGGAGCAGGAGCACCGACATCCTCCTTTGGTGTCCCGCTCAGCAGCAGCGTTCGCTCGTTGCAGGCATCCATTGAGCTGGTGGCGGCTGCGGCAGTGACAGCGGAACCGTTTGACGTCGACGCGAGCATTGCGGTTGCGGATAGTATAGAGGCGTCTTTAACGAGATTCGGTTTCCGTTGGGGATTCAGCAGAGGAGCTGAATATGCATTTCGTACTGTTTTCAGTACCGTGGACGCGGATGCTGGACGTTGACTGGGATTGGCTTTCAGTGGCGGTGGCGGCGGCGGCTGTCTGGGTCTGGCTAGGGCCAGCATATGTGCGTGAGGATTTGATTGCACCCGGTTCCTCACGCACGCACGCCCTGCAGTATCTCTCAGACTCCCGCCGATCTTAAGCAATGCACCACCACTCTCTGGGTGTCCCGCTCTCATGCAGCGGCACTGATTTCTGCGTATCCTACGCTCACACGCCCCCACGCACTCACGTGCTCTTCTGGGCTTTTGGCTGCACTTTCCGTGTACCGTGCGTGTATGTCGCTTTCTTGTGGTGACCCTCTCTTACGGCTGACACAAAATCACGGCACACAACGGTAGGCGAGTGAATGTTAGGAAGGGGCAATACGGGATTGGTAGAATGTTTCAGAGCTTTTGAAAATATAGTGCTTTATTTCTTGACGCTTGATTGAATTATACCGGACGCAGCAATGCGACACCGGGGTCCACAGACTGAGCAGCGACGGCTAATGGTATCGGTGACTGATGAAGACAATTCCTGCATACGAATGCTCTTTGCCTTTTTGTTTCACCCGTCTTCTTTCACATATAACATGGATATGCGCACACACAGCACACAAGCACAATTCCCGCAACAAAAAAAAAAAAAAACAAGAAGAATATTAACACATTAGCACCACAGTCGAGAGGGGAAATAGGGGGAAACAAAAACAGCACCAACGGCGACCGCAGCAGCAGAGTAGAGGGCAAGGACGACACGAGTGCACTGCTATATATCTGCCGTTGCATTAACACGTTTTTCGGCTCTAACAAGTTTATAAAAAAAATGTAATAAATTCGTATTGCGGCTTTGCAGCTGCTGCTTTATTCCGTGTGACCACCGCGTTGACGTTGACCGTCAAAAATATACCAACTCATTTTCATAATATACCGCTAATATACCGAGGAAAATTATATTCGTTAATTTTGCTAATTGATTTAAGCCCAGTACTCAGGGTTGATATTCGTATTAAACCGATAAGAAATATTTTCGGGCACCAACTGTTTTCTAGGCTCTGTACGGAAGGCAGTACTCAGATGAACAAAAAAAACGTCGGTAGATACTAGAAAAGAATCCAATAGTATTTGCTGGTATTCGTTGGTTTGTTGCTAGCCCATCGATAAAGTTATCAATTTTATATATTCTGCTAACGTAAACATTGCAAAATGAGAAAAAAAAACCAAATGAAATATTTGGTATTATGTGGATATTATAATTTATTATTTTTATTAATTTTCATGAATATAAAAAAAATATTGTTTGCAAAACATGTTGTCTTCACTGTGGGCGGCACGGGAGGCGGCACGGGAGGCGTTGCCATCTGCTGCTGCTGATAGCACTGGTCAACACGATTTTTCCTCAAGGAACAAAACCAACTTTTTATTAAAGATTTGGGGCTTAGAAATGGTTTGATGATATTTTTTTTTTTATATGGCAGAACTTTTTTTTGAAAAATTTTTGAAAACTGGTATTTTTTTTAAAGCTTTTATCAGAGGTAGCGATAGTTTTTTTCACATAACTTTAGTATCTTACGTCTGGTTGTAAAGAACTTTGCTATTTTGAAAAGGTAATTAAAACAGCTAGAAGTTAAGCGAATAACTTTGTGATTTCAGCTTACTGTCTGGGAAATATAAAGCATTGAAATGCAAAAATGATGATTTTTGTGCGGTATTTTTTACGAAATTTTGACTTTAAAAACTCAGGAAAAGTCGAAAAAAAATTATATCTTGTGTCCTCAATTGTGTTCCCAATTGGCAGTTGGGCCCGCAACCTTCCAAAAGGTATTTTTTGTTCATTTTTTCCATATTTTAGGTTTGGTTAACGAATTTTAGCTCCAAAGTCTCTCCATAGATTTTAATGAGCGATACCTTAAACGACGCCAAATTAACGCACCTATACACAAAAAAAAAGAGGACACAAGATATAATTTTTTTTCGACTTTTCCTGAGTTTTTAAAGTCAAAATTTCGTAAAAAATACCGCACAAAAATCATCATTTTTGCATTTCAATGCTTTATATTTCCCAGACAGTAAGCTGAAATCACAAAGTGTTTAGTCTCGACTTCTAGCTGTTTTAATTATCTTTTCAAAATAGTAAAGTTCTCTACAACCAGACTTAGGATACTAGAGTTATGTGAAAAAAACAAGCGCTACCTCTGAAAAAAGCTTTAAAAAAAATACCAGACTTCAAAAATTCTTCAAAAAAAAGTTGTGCCACAGAAAAAAAACCATAATTCTTAAAAAAAATTTAAAGCCCCATATCTATCAGAAAAAGTCGGTTTGTATCCTTGAGGAAAAAAAAAGTTCGATTTTGTCGAGTAGTGTAGTCAGACACACGCCTCTGGCAATAAAATATTGGGGTGCCCAGGATATGCCTGGGGAAGAGCGAACCCAGCCAAAGAAGTGCATTTCAATGGGCGCGTTCACCAGGACAACTTGATCAGCGATCAAGTTGATTTTGTTTACTTTAAAGTTTAAACAAAACCAAACAGCTGTCTGAGCAGTGTAACTGTACGGAATGCAGTGCACACCGCTGGTCACACCACTGTCCACTAGAAGAATATATGACATATAGTTGACAGCAAATCGTTTTTGGATCTGAGTGCTAGGCTTTATCAAAGATAGTCTGTCAAATAAAGCATAAGTACACGTTCGACTGCCGAAAAACACTTTTATCCCAAGTCATGATTTATATACATTTTTCGCTAGATCGTCGTTGCAATGGAATTCTCCTTTGAATATCCCTTAAACGGGCTCATCAATAAGCTGTTGAACCTATTCACGGCTATGGAGGATAAGGACGCCTCTACTGCTCCGGTACTGTTCCAGCGATGCGGCCTGCCCATTCGTTTTCATATCGAGAACGTGTCCGACCATGGAGACCTTAGCATCGCTAACAACAGCAAGTATTGGGAAGCCTTCTGTCGGAAGCACGGTCGCAAGATGCGCCTGCACACGGACAAGGAGATGGACCTAGTGCTGCCCAATGAGGAGTCAATGCAGTTTCTGATCGAGCAGGCCAAAGACTGGGTGTTCCCCCTGCAGGAGATCACGCCCCTTTACAATAATCGCTGCACGTTTAGTTTCCAGCGTCGTCCGGTTATAGATTACGTGCTGAGAACGGTGCTCCAGCAGGGCGCTCGATATGGCCACCACTCGAAGTTGGACAAAGCCCCCACCTTGTGCCTCACTCAGAGCCCGAGCCCGGACTCAACTCTCGACGATGGGACCGAGCAGCTAGGTCACTATCGCCTCCGTCAGCTCCTCGGGATTACTCGTCGCCTAATGGCCTACTCGACCTGGCGCCTGGTGGATTTAGAGCAGCAATCTGATGACACTCTCCGCGTGACCGTGGAGGCACAACGTTGCCCCAAACAGCCGACAGACCACGTCTGTCTTGTCTGTGGACCCGTACTTGAGCCCGTCGGGAAGACAGCCACCACAATAAACAAAGACAGCTACGTTACGTGAGTCTTCCTCGCTTACACCTGCCATGCCATCCAGCCAGCCTAATTCTCTGTCTCTTTCTATTCCATGGACAGATTACGCTCCAAGGACATGATACTTATGGCCATGCATCGCAATGGCGTCCGCATGGGTAGTTCGCGCGGCGACTTTGATGCCCTTATCCAGCGCCTGGGCGCTGCTGCCGTGATTGTGGATCTGTTTGAAGTGCGCCACGCTTCAGCGGCCAATGTGGTGCGCAATGGATCGGGAAGCTCTAAGGGGGCCTCGTACATCCTGTACAATTCGGCCCGCCTGGAGACGCTGCTGCGCACCTTCAATGCCCAGGTGGAGGCGGGTGTCTACCAGCCACTGCCGCCGCTGGCTGACATCGATCTCAGTCTGTTGGAGGACGATGTAAGTGTTGAGTGGAATCTGCAGAATCTCTATAACGCAACTTTGTTAACGTTTCAGCAGCTTGACTGGAAACTGATCTACGGCCACCTGCTGCCCTTCCCAGAGGTGGTCGAGTCCACGCTGAATCTGCTGCAACAGGGCCAGTGTGATGTGCACCTGCTGGTGCGCTACATCAGCAGCCTGGCTTCCCTCTTCAGCCGCTACTACCGCCAGAAGAGGATCCTCGTGCAGATGCGGGACCAGCTGATGCCAGTCCTCTATGCCCGCGTCTACCTCGTCATGGCGGTGCGTCAGGTGCTCAATGTGGCCCTCTCGCTGCTCGGCATAGAACCTGTGTCATATATATAGATATACACTCTAATCATATTAGTAGCTGTAGTCCTCACCCATTTACAACCGCACTTCTCTCCCCTACCTCTCTTCTGTGGTAGACGTTTCTGTTTGAGCATTTATTGTTGAACAATAATTTAAGAATAAGACTGAGTTTTCACTTTTCTTATGGAAATACGGGGGGCTTGCAGGATGACTTTGATCGCATCCCATCCAAATTCATCAATCCAAAATAAGATCGACTGTGAAGCTTATTCTATTATGGAATCCGAAGGTGGTATGCCCAAGTGCCTGCGTGATAAGAAAACATCGGATAAGACCCACACCCAGCTAGATGTCGAGTAAGGTGGGTGTTTGCAATAATTGATACGTGTATTCTTCAATATGAAGGTATTTATCAAATAAGACTACTATATTATATACATATTTCTATACGAATATCAAATACAATATATAAGCATATGGGAGATGCTTTCACCATTTAATTGGAATTTGAGAGAACACAGCTGGACGGTTCAGTGGCTGGCACCACTAACCGTAACTCTCTCCTTGAGCTCTCGCACCGAAAACACTTCAATCTACAAACCTGACTTACGAGGTTGCAGAAACGACTGCATTTGGCCAAGAAAAAAGTTATTTTCCACCAGGACAACGCAAGGGTGCAGACATGTGCAGATTTCATTTAAAAAATCCATCAATTAGGCTACGAATTGGTCCCACCGACTTTAAGAAAACACCATTTTTTTAAACTATTCTTTTTTATTTGTCTACATAATCTTTTTTAAGCTCAATATACATTTTCAGCAATTTCTTAAATTTTTTTATCCAAAATGTGGTTGCCCATTGCTTCCAGAATATCTTGCAAATCAATCGGCCAACACCATATCGTGAATTTTGTTCAATTTCTTCGGGTATATGACCATAACTAGGCGTCCAGCCTGTGCATCAGTTTTTGTGCTTGTACGGTATCAAGCTTTTCCTTGGTTTAAGTGGCGGGTTTTTCCTAAAAAAAAAAAATTTCCGCCCTCGTACTCTTCCTTCATTTGAATAATCGACTGGCAAAAAGTTAAGTACATTCAAACATATAAATACTTTGGCAAAAATAAAAAAACATACAAATAAATATATAATACTATATGGAAGGAGATGACGTGCCGGCCATCCAGGCCTGCTGCTTCCGCCTTTTGGAATCAACTACTGCTTTATGATCAGAGATTTCTTGATGTGCTTCATGTGCGCGTTGAGGGCGTGCTGATAGTAGCTGTTGGTGCAGATCTTTGGCGCACGTTCCGGTTGGCTGTGCGCCTTTTCGCTTTGCTTATATTGGGTCGTTGGATCGTGTTGGGGGCGCGTGATGGCGGTGGTGGTGGTGGTGTTGGTGAAGGAGGAGGCGACACCGTCTCCTCCATTGTAATTTCATAGAAATGGTTTGGGGCATTGTCGTATTCCCAAGGACTTGGGATGAGAATTTTTCCACATTCCTGATCTGAAGTATCGCCCGGTTGATCCTTCATGGGTACCGTTTCGATGAGGGTGTCCAGGGACATGACCATTGATCTAGATTCATCTGGTATCTGGGGCAGGGAGTCTGTGTTTTCCTGGCCCTCCTGACTATACTCCACCTTTATCACGGGAAGATTTGCAGTTGCGCCATACGCTGTTGTGGATGTAGTACTGGAACTTTCACCTGCATTTAATCTTGTCGCTGACACTGGACCCACCGTACGACTCGCAAGAGGAGTGTCTGCATCCACGTTCACGCGTTTGATTTTCAAACTGGCGGGCAGCTTGACGTGGTGCTCTTCCAGATACAGCTTCAGCTGTTGGTTTCTGGCCAATTCGTCGGCATCGACGGAGTGCGAGCTGTTTGTCGCAGTGAGGAATAGCTTTTCGATCAGCACGCACTTCTCATAGAAGCGGTAGGCGACTGCCAATTCACTGTGGCACTGCTCGCAGATCTTGTCCGGCCAGCGCTGCATTTGCAAACTCTCCAGTTGCAGGCTGGTGCAACAGCGGATCATGTCCGCAATCAGGGTGTGCGGCGGCTCCAAGTCATGGCTGTAAATGGAGATATGGCCGGACTCCTCATTCAGGCAGATCAGGCAGGCCACGTCCAGATCCACCACACGTGACTCCAGGTTGTTCGCCATTTGCTAATTATAGCAACAATTAATTGCTAAATGCAATTTTACACAAAAACAAAATGTTGATTCTTTTCTGATTTAGCGATGGGAGTTTGCGCCTATGTACCTGCTATTCGAGGCAAATGCGATATATCGATAAGTGTCTACATCGATAAGTGTATATCGCATCGAACATTTCATGTATATGTATAGATACAGATGTATGTACGCCAGCTAATGCGCGAACATGAATATGTATGTCTCCCCCGCGACGTATTTAAACAGAAACTAAGTGAGTGTATACTCACGATAACCAACTTAAGGGGTTTTTTTTTATTAAAAATGCGATTGTCTGCAATCAGCAAAACGAGTTAATTGTATTTAATTACAAAAATCTTCTCCAATGGAATTATGGAAATCACGGCGACAGATCTCGCAGATCTTGTTTGAGGTCCCTAGAATGTGGAAAAACTCAAAATTCGAAATGGCAATGTGAATTTTGTCCCCAAGATGTGTGGCGGCACCACATCATGGCTGTAAATGGAGCGGTGGCCGGCCTCCTCGTTCATGCGGGAAAAGTCCATGTTCACCGCACATGACCCCAGGTGGTTAGCCATTGGCTTAGCTAGATCATGCACAATAGCCAACAATTGTAAAACGATAATCCATTAAAAAACCTCTGATGCTGCTCTTTTGTTCTGATCTACCGTAGCTGCGCACAATGGGACAGTTTATTTGCGCCAATTGACAATTAAAAGTTTTTTGTCGACAAAAAGAAAATAAATACATTGATCATTTTATATAGGAAATTATGCACTGGCAACAAATTTCAACTTTGAAAATTCAGCTTTACAAGCTTTTAAACAATTTAGCACCATTTTCTCTTTCAAACTTAATATATACGATTTTTCTTTATAAAACACAAAACATATGCATTAATAAGTAAAAAACATCTCAATCTAAGAAAACTGCATTATTAATGTTTCAATGGAACTTGGAACAATAAATTTAACATCAATTAAAGAAAATACGGTATACAAAAGTCCTTACGCATGTAAGAAACTTGGTTGCCCAGCAACAATTAAGTCACATTAATAGGCCGTTTACACTGGGGCTGCGTCATGCTTCTTTGCGTCTTGGCGAAGACGCAGTTTTTTTTACATAGGTTAAGCATAGGGCCCTAGTGGTGGCAAAAAGTTGCGTCAGTGTCTGATTCATGTGCGTCTATTCGGTATATTCGATTGATTTTGCTCATTTTTGGTATTTTCTGCCTATCAGCGCAACTATCACCACTAATAACAACAAAAAATTGTAGATCAAAAATCAAATTTTGGCGCTAAAAATGTATGATTGTGCAAAAAGGTGAAAATATACATAAAGTCATTAAATAAAATACTTGAAACTGATTGTACTATTATCATATGAAAATTTTCTGACCCCCTGATGCCATTAAGACACTGCTGGAGACGAACTTCGGTGGTTTTCATAATTTGAAGAAGAACTCCCACAAACTCTACAATGAAATGTCTGAAAATAATATTTAAATATGAGAATCAATTCTTTTTCGTCCATTTTCCTGACGTCTTGCTTAATTCTGTTGATTTTCAAAAATTTGTGTATCTTTCCTTGTCATCAAACACCCAAATCCAAATTCAAGACGCACGTCTTCCAATGTAAACGCCTTTTCTGCTTCATTGCGTCTATGCCGATATCGATAGCAGACGCGCCCAGTGTAAAAAGGCTATTAGTCAACATTTACGTTTTATGCTTTGGCCGTTTTTGTTTGAACCTTAATAAGTAAACAATCCAATGAAAAAGATTTCTGGAAACTAGCCAATCCTAAACAAAATTTATTGATGAATTGCATAAAATTATTTGTTTAGGGCTGAGAGTCCTAGCTAGCTAGTAATATTAAACGGAATATCAAAGTAGAGGAATATCAACGTTGAATGTTTTGAAAAAACATTCGATACTATCGTGATAGTATCGGGCTCAAATAATTATTAAAAAACCATTGAAACCTTTTGGGAACTTGTCCATTGTAAAAATTAGATGCCACCTGTCGATTTGTTTACAAAAGTGTCTTCGTATATTATAGCAGCCAATCCAAACATATCAAAAGCGCAACGACTGTAGCTCGATACTATCATGATAGTCGCAAAACCGTCGATGGTAGAGGCTAGCAGTAAAATATCGATACTATCGATTGTGCCCTCCATTGTTTGACACCTCTACTGCTGCTGCCTATTATCCACGTTTCGTCTGCCGCGCATGTTCATCTCGACCAAACTTTGCTCCTCCTACCTTACATTGCTGGACTGGTAAGTGGCAAAACCATGTGCTCGGCCCTCCACCCATCCCAGTGCCGAGAGCGCTGTCCAGACCTCATTCCACGCCATAGAGACACTGCAATTAACGTTGTTTCTATGCTGCTTTTCATCGTGCCGCCGCCATAGCTAAAAGTTACGTCTCACTGCAATTGCGTTGTTCCATCGACAATTGGACAGCCCTCATCTGCATCCACAGTGCCACAAAGCGCCGCCGCATCGTGAATCCACTGAACCTGTATATGTTTTGTGGTGTGTGTCTGTGGAACAGAGAAGCGACCAGGCCCCTGCATTAAAAAACGGCGGCAGAGATTATTGTTTGTGCCATATTTTTATTGTTCCTATCGGCCCTTGGCTCGCGGCTGTTTCATTTATTTTGTTTATTATTATCGCCGTCTTGGTCTGGCCCAAGTTAAACGGACGCCACTGTCACTGCCACAGCGATGGATAACAGCAGTAGCAGCACTAGCAAACCCAAACTCAATGGCTTTGTGGATGGAGAATCCGTTGAAAATCAGCTGCAGGACGGCCTCAGCTGCAGGGAGTTGTTTCAGAATGGGGATGGACTCACCTACAAGTAAGTGCCAGGCCACTTAAAAAAATCTTTTAGTCCATCCATCAACACATCCCTGACCATATCCTAATCCTCTCTTAATGTCAATGTCAACATCCCCAGCGACTTTCTCATATTGCCCGGCTACATAGACTTCACCGCCGAGGATGTTGATCTTGGGTCGCCGCTGACCAAGAAAATTACATTGAGGGCACCGCTGGTTAGCTCGCCCATGGACACCGTAACCGAATCGGAGATGGCCATAGCCATGGCGGTGAGTACTGTCTCAGAATCTAGGTCGGATTGGGGGCTCGACTCGGATTCGATCGCTCTAGCTGTGGTTGTAACTCAACACTCTTTTGTGCCTCTCTAACCGCTCAACCGCTAACCCTTGACTGCTCTGCTACCCTTCCTTGTCGTGGACTGTCTCTCACTCTGATGTACCTACTGACACTCGACACTGTCGTCCGACGCGCAGCTGTGTGGTGGCATCGGCATCATCCATCACAACTGCACGCCGGAGTACCAAGCGTTGGAGGTGCACAAGGTTAAAAAGTACAAACATGGCTTCATGCGCGACCCGTCCGTGATGTCGCCCACCAACACCGTCGGCGATGTGCTGGAGGCCCGGCGAAAGAACGGCTTCACCGGCTATCCGGTTACCGCGAATGGCAAACTGGGCGGCAAGCTTCTCGGCATGGTCACCTCCAGGGACATTGATTTCCGTGAGAATCAGCCGGAGATAGTGCTTGCAGACATAATGACCACCGAACTGGTCACCGCGCCCAATGGCATAAATCTGCCCACGGCGAATGCCATTCTGGAGAAGAGCAAGAAGGGCAAACTGCCGATTATCAATCAGGCTGGCGAGCTGGTGGCCATGATTGCGCGCACGGATCTTAAGAAGGCACGCTCCTATCCGAACGCCTCGAAGGACTCCAACAAGCAGCTGCTGGTGGGCGCCGCTATAGGGACGCGCGGTGAGGATAAACCCCGGCTCCAGCTTCTAGTGGCCAATGGTGTGGATGTGATCATTTTGGACTCCTCGCAGGGCAACTCTATTTATCAGGTGGAGATGATTAAGTTCATCAAGGAGACCTATCCCGATCTGCAGGTCATCGGCGGCAATGGTAAGTTGCCCATACACTAATCTGTCCTCATCAGCACATCCTAACCACATCATCGTCCTCGAATCTCTCTTATTGTGTGATGTCTGCTCCTGGTCTCTCTCTCCCCCCCCATCCAGTTGTAACACGCGCCCAAGCCAAGAACCTTATCGAGGCGGGCGTGGACGGACTACGCGTGGGCATGGGGTCTGGCTCCATCTGCATCACCCAGGAGGTGATGGCCTGCGGTTGTCCTCAGGCAACGGCCGTCTATCAGGTATCTACCTATGCGAAGGAGTTTGGGGTGCCCGTGATTGCCGACGGCGGCATCCAATCGATCGGACACATTGTTAAGGCATTGGCCTTGGGGGCCAGCGCCGTAATGATGGGCTCTCTACTGGCCGGAACCTCGGAGGCGCCCGGAGAGTACTTCTTCTCGGATGGCGTGCGTTTGAAGAAATATCGAGGAATGGGTTCCCTGGAGGCGATGGAGCGCGGGGATGCTAAGGGTGCGGCTATGTCCCGCTACTACCACAATGAGATGGACAAGATGAAGGTCGCTCAGGGTGTCAGCGGCAGTATTGTGGACAAGGGCAGCGTTCTGCGTTATCTGCCCTATTTGGAGTGCGGACTTCAGCACAGCTGCCAGGACATTGGAGCCAATTCCGTGAAGAAATTGAAGTGAGTGCTGAATATAAAGCACAAACAAATTTTTCTTGAAATTACTTCATTAAAATATTCTTAACAGGGAGATGATCTACAATGGCCAACTGCGATTCATGAAGCGCACCCATTCCGCTCAGCTTGAGGGCAATGTTCACGGCCTCTTCAGCTATGAGAAGCGTCTCTTCTAACATATGGCCAGTGCTGCATCGGCCACGGGCAGCGGATTGGCTGCCCCTGCATCACAGCAGCAGCAACACCAACATCAGCAGCTTCAGCATCGATCTGGAGCAACCAATCCGAACCACTTTGCCCTACTTTACGATCGGAAGTGATTTCGGAAGAGTTGAGAGTTGTCCCATTACTCGCATAAGGCATCCTCGAATCAACGGCCCTATCCATACATACTTATACCTACCTTATCCATCTGCCCGCGCAGACAAAAACCTAAACTTAAGTGTTTACAGACCATGATCTGTATAAAACTATGTACTCTATCTATAGATATCTATACATATAAATATTATATATATATACTAGGTGGCAAGCCCCCTGCTCACTCGCTTCGCTCGTTCGCCAACCCCCAAGTCTTCTATATCATTTTATATTATTTGCATACATTCACTCTTTATCGCACGATCGGTACGATTATCTACTATTCCGGATGTGTTGTTTGTAATATATTGTAGCATACATGCATAGTATGCATTGCATACATATATACACGTACTGCAGCTCCTCTCTTTGGGAACCTTTTAAGTTCCTTACGACAAACTTATTAAATGTGAACTGAAACTGATGCAGGAATCCTTCGTGTGTTTGTACTTATCTGCACTACTTATACTATCTACCAGCGGTGGCTACGTCCTTACGTCCAAACTGCACACTTATGCTCGACTCGAAATGCTCAAGCGAATGCTGAAATAAAAACGGCCCGAAAACAGTACAAAAACAGTTTTTGGATCTTTTTGATCTACCGCTGGTATCTGTACATTGTATTTACCTTATAGAGTGTTCTAGTTGGAAAGAGCGATAATAGAACAAAGCATGAATTTGGCGGTTTTAATCACTTTTGTTTGATTTTGTTGGCCATCTATGTACAGCGTGAATTTTCTGAGACATTTGTTAATTTCTCAAAGAATCATATGAAGCATCTCATAAAAAACTCCATAGTTTCGTTATAGTTTGTGTGTCTGCGCCTAGCCACATAAAACTGAAAATTAAAATCGTTAACATTTTGACTCAGATACATGTGTTCCAGTGCAATAATAGAATAAATATAAAGATTTGAAAGGATGAAGGATCGCATCTGAACGGAAGAAGAAGTTTGAACTGAGCACCATTAGTTCCTGATGGATGCAAGAATTTCAACTTTATCCCTATATTTATTTCGATATATGTATTTAAGTACATAAATAATTAATTTTGATTATAAATTGAATTTAGCAATAAATCGAAATGATTTTGATGTTGGTTAACCCTTGATAAGGACACTTAAACAAAGCTAGTATGTATACAAAAATGCCGATAAGAGCCGAAAGTATTTATAACAGATATAGAAAAATTGAGGTTATATACGAGATTTCGGAAAGCAGATACACAAGAGCACTCTCTCTTTCTATTCCTCTCTCTCTCTGTCTGACACAAACACTCAGGCGGGCATATCAAAAATATATACATATATATATGCATGTATTGTTTATATAATATATATGTTATATATATGACTAGTATTTATGTGTATGTTTGGAGCTAGTGGGCGGGATTGTCAGGGGCCAGGCAATGCCACTTCTCATGAAAGTGGTCCGGTAATCGGATGCAGTCGTGCCATTGCTGGAGGCGTTCGCCCTTGCTCTGGGCCCCCAGCTGTAGGCTGCCCAGGAAGTCGTTGCTCTTGCCCAGATCCTTGTCCCACACGGTCACAATGAGCATCTCCTTATTGAGATCGTGGGGACTCGCCTCAAAGCAGAACTCCTCGTTGTAGATCGGGTTCAGAGTCCGCCACTTGACGCTCGTCTTGTGCTTTTTGTTCTTGTGTGCATCCGGTTTGAGCTGACTGGAACAAAAAAGAACATTAGCAAAGGATCTAAGTACACTAATCTTAAGGATTACTTACAGCTTGACAAAGGGATCAGAGCTACCGTTGTTATCCATGGCCATCAGATCGGTACACTGCTTCACATTCACGACCAGCACCCGCCGCTTGGTATTGTAGCACAGGGAGATCAGAATTTTTCCATTGGGCCACTCCTGGGCCGTTTCCGCCGCGTTGCTGTACTGATCCTCCACGCCCAGTGGCACCGAGACCCTGTACTGTGATGTGCTGTGCACCTGCAATAAAATCGGAAACGAAAGGGAAAGCAGTAAGGCTTAGTTAGGATTTCACGCTTAAATATAATTCTTAAAGTTCGTTCTTCAAATATATTTTCAAATATTTGCATCCTAAAAATGGGCTAAAATTAATATTTTTGGGTTTAGGTTTTACTGCCAATTTCTCGGCGAAGAGGGTCTCTTCATGTTCCTTGGATACCTGGCCATATTAAGGTGAAAGTAAAAACCGGAATATAAGTTCGAATTAGCCTCGAGGATGTGGCCCCTGGAACCTTATCCATCATTGGACTCACCGTAGAGAGGCAGACCTTGGCCGCACCCAGGAAATCGTGCCCGTACTTATCGTCATCGAAGAGGGCCACATACAGCAGGGAGTTGCCCAGCTCCTCTGGCTCTACGCCGACAAACTGGAGGGTTTCGTTAAACTCTGGATTGCGTGTCTTGTGCACGGTCTTGGTGCGCTGCCAGCGCGTGTATTTGGTGAGCGCCTCGGGCGTAATTATGTTCAGCTTGCAGTAAGGATCGGTCAGTCCAGAGGCATCCATGGCGGGCAGGTCCCGTGCCCGCACCATTATGCAGTCGAGGCTATGGAAGTTCTCCCTATAGTTGATGGCTATCTCCAGCCAGCCGAGCAGCGGATCCCGACAATGCTGTTGCTGGGATTGGGTGTATTGGGATTGGGTGCCGGAATTACCGGAGCCAGAGCTTTCGCTGATGGACCAGGAGGAGCTGACCGAATTGCGGCGCAGGGAGCTGCTCTCACGGCGCAGCTGGGCCACCGCCGAGCCGTTTAAAAGGCTGATGCTGTCGTAGTCGGTGCACTCTGACGGCCGGTGGCTCTGCTGCCGGCCGAAGAAGAAGGAGTTCGACAGCTTTCGCTCACCACCGTCGATGAAACTCCGTATGGAGCCATATGCCCGCAGCCGGAAGCTGTTCTCTCTCTGCAGCCTGTCCACGGCCGTGCCCTTGGCACCTCCACCTGCACCGTCCAGCTCATCCTCCGGCTCGGAGATACCGCTGCTGGAACTGCTGTCGTTGACCCTTATCGTCAGCTTCTTGACCCGTGCCGGCCGCGTCGGCGTTACGTGGCAGCTGTGCACAGCTCGCGTGTCTCCTGCGATGACATAGAATATCGATATTAGCGATGGTTTCAGTCGATTACCGATTAGATGAAAGTACTGGACTGCGAGAGTTCTGGATTCTAGTTTTCAATATTGAACCATCCGAGGACACCATTTTAATTCAAGGTTTTCTTTAGTTTTAGTTTCAATTGTAAAATATCCTTTATACATGTATCTTTAATTTATGGTTTAGATAGTAAACAGGCCCCTCTTTGCAATCTTCACTGTTCCTTGTGAAAAGCGGAAGTGGAAAAAAATGACACGACAGGACATGAAACATCCTTACCTGCCATGGATGCCATCCCTCCTGGTGTGGGGGTAGGCGTGGCGCTGGCACTGCGCGGTGTTTCGTACCGGGGCAGGCCCTTGAAGAACCAGGCCCCCGATTTCTTCCACATCTCACGCGTCTCCGAGCAGATGCGACAGAGCCAAATCTCCCGGGTCCGCTCGCTGGTGTGATACCGGATATTGATGTCCACGCTGCACTTGGTGCAAACGGACTGGCGGCAGTCCTCACAGATGATACGATGTGGCCGCAGCAGCCCAAAGGTGTCGCCGCAGAGGCGACAACAGTTGGGGCCCCGTTCGACAGCATGCTGCTTGATCTTTTCGACACGCTCCACCAGACGGCCGACCCGCTGCCGTTCGGCAATCTCGATCTCCTCATTGCGCCGTATCACGGATATGATTGCCTCCTGCTCCTCGGGACGCAAGGGTTCACTGGTCTTTGAACTGCTCCAGCCGGCTCTCAACCTGTGCGGGAGATATAGAATAAGTAAAAAAACGCGGAGACCTTGTTAATGTGCCAGCTCCTAAAGTGCTTCAAGTGTGAGAAATGAAATGGGATGGGCGGGCTGGTTAATGCGGTTTCCATGTTCTCCAAGCCCAGGCCCAGCAACACCGTGGCAGCCGGCGGCCGGCAAACGGCCAAAATGTCAAGTTCAATGTTGATTAGCTCGCCCATGTTTAGGACCAATTTCTGTAGCCATAACCACCGCCTAGCCCGGCCCATTATCCCCCGTTTTACACCCAGTAGATGGCAGGAGTAGAGTATGTTGAACTGGTGTTCAAAAAACTAAAATTGTGAAATATCAAGCAAATTGTACTTGTAACATTTAGATAAGACATTAAACCGTATGGTGAGATCTAAATGAATTTCAAGCCATTAGGTATTAGGAATTTCCAGCAACCCAAATAAATAAACTAAGATAATCATTATCATCATGCACCGCTGACCTAAATAAATATACAACAAACAGCTGGATGCATTTGTATGCACACAATCTTGTTATATTGATAAGTACACTCATAAATTACATTCTGGATGACCTGCAGCTGGTAAAATATCACTCCATCTGCATGGAAACCATTACGACAGTCATAAAAGTATCTTAGACTTGACCCACGGCTCTTTGGACCCGGACCCATGCAGTTACAATTGTAATAATTGTTTAGTTAATTGCTGTTTTATTTCCGTTCACTATCGTTGCGTTTCAGGAGGTGTTCGTTTTCTTCTCTGCGTTACACACAACCACTTTTACCACAAATCTTATATACCCCTTAACTTTTCGAGTACTCATAACAAAGCGCAACCTCAAAGCCCACATACGGGCATGCACAGCAACTAGCGCCGGGGCATGCAAATTCAGGCTTTACTTTAAAATTTTTTTCGTATGTATTTTTCGTGTGTGTTGCCTTCACCCTTCAAATACCCTTGCGGGTTCGTGTTCTATCAACATTGGACCCGACAAATACCTGAAAATGAGGCAAAAATGCTTTATTTGAAGAAGGTAGAGGTGTTCGAGCTTGATTATAAAACTTTAAATGAGCTTAAACACTATCAAAAATAGATTTAGAAACAACAACAAATTTGTCATGTTATTTCCCGAATTTGTTTTGTCAGTTTGTCTTGTTTTTGAGGCGAATAGTTGGCATCACTTGTGCTGATTGACTTCCCCCTTAACAGTTCTCTTTGGTGCCCCTTGGGCCATGCTTTTCCTCTTCCTGATGTGGCTCCCTTGACTCTCAGAAAATGAGAGTCAGAGTACGAGTGAGAGAAGCGACAAGCGTGAAGGAATCTCTCTTTGTTCCCTGTCGCTGGTTGAATGCAAAAGCTCTTTGTTTCTGTGCTTCTTTATTGTCGTGTGTGTCTGTCTGTGAGTCTTGGTCTCTGTGTGTGTGTGTTTGTTTAGATGTGAGTGGAGTGAACTAACGGAAGTGTAAATTGCACACTTGAAACCTGCTCTGCCTGCCGACTCCCCCTGGACACCATTCATTCTTTCATACTGTGCCATGGCTGGGGCTGTCAGTGCATGTCCGTGTGGCGGCATTGTTGTATTTTTAATGCGTCAAAGTCGCATTTGCTGTCAGCTGGGATTGATTTAGCCGACGGTTGCCCACGTAGTATGCTTTATATTCGTACAACCAGCATATGCTGAGGATATACATATTTATGTAGTAGGGAAATGGTTTCGTTTTGTGTAGTCTGGATTCCTGGTGTGGTATGCGGCATGTAGCAATGAAAGCCTCTCTGTCTCTAGACCAGTATATGCATGTTTTTGTCGTGGGCCCATAAACTTAAGGCGCGTCACATCATAAAATATAAAAAATTATTAAAATTTAATTAATCTGTCAGCGTGAAAAAATTATGATAGAATTGGGCCGACACAGAAACCATTTGGATCTCCTCCTGTCCCTTCCTCTTTTTCCGTTCAGTCCAGCTTGTAATTTCCTTAGCCCTCACAGTTTTTCGTTCAGGGACATGGCTCCCGCACTATATAGCCATAGTTGTCGTCTGACAGTGTGATGCACACATCACACACATGTATTTCATTTGATTAGGCCACAGTTTTGTGCTGTATTTTTGGCCAATCATGCACACACACTCACACACAGACAGAGTGACAGTAATTAAATTACAACTAAAGCTTTTGCGGAATTTTGGTTGTTGTTAGCTCTAACACAAACACACACATACACATGAAAAATATAATTTTTTGCTATTATTCGAATGGCCATCAAATACGGAGATAGTAAAGGGTAGCCAATTGTTGCATTAGTCTTCCAATCCCAATGCCAATGTCATTTTAGCTTCAAATCCAACTTAGCTTTCAGGCCATGCCCCTCAGTTGCTCAGTAGGATGGGCTTTTGGGGCTTATAACGGTACTTACTTGGCACGCAGGGCCAGCTGCCTGTCGCTGGGACAGACGAACTTATTGGCCGTGTTATTGCAGTTCTGGAAGTCCATCTTGTCACATTATAATCGGGTGATATGTTTTTGGCTGGTTTTCGGTCTGCAATGATGTTTATTTCCCTCCCGCTCCGCTCTCGAATAATGTGGATCTCAATCAAAGTAAACAACAGGAATCATTGCCTGCAGATAGGCGCGGCGCACTCACTCTCCCTCCCTATATCAATCTGCAGCGTTGTTATTGTTAGTAGCTGTTCACTGTTATTTTGCGGCCCCGAACGAACGAAATGAAATGGCAACAGGAACGAAATGGAAAAGCACGCAGGAGGCACGTCCAAGTGCGCACGCTGGCGCTGATATGCGTCGTCTGGTGCACAACAGCAGCGACAGCCGGAATTTTATTATTACAGTTACAATCGCAGGCAGTGATGGGGCGATAGGAGCTGTCGCGACAGATGCGAAAGTATCGTTGCCCTTTCGTTCGATGCGGGCCATGCTCAACACATCACTAGAACTGACATTGTTCCTATGTATGTACATGTACACATGCATGCATAAGGTCTTAAGCCACCAAGATCATAATGTGGGAACTTGTCGATTAACAAGAGCTTCTTGCGATCCTTGGCTTCTGTTTGACATATATTAAAATATATATATACATATATGTATGTAGAACATATACTTTTATAAAGTAAGCGCTTTTTCCGTGACACCTAAGTACTATCTTTCTGTCTCGTTCTTAGTATGTCACACTTGCACACATAAATTTAATAAAATAATCAAACTGCCGTTAAGATCGCTCCCCTGAAGGCATCACCTTGTGGAAGTACACCTTGTATAGGCCTTAAGGCTCAGCGATAGGATCTACTACCATCTCTAGGAACTTTCGCGTCGTCCCTCCGCCACCCTCTGCCCATTCTGCCTGTTGCACAGTAGACTCAGCTAAAGACCATATGGCCACGCGCAGGAAGCTTTTCGTTATATTTGCAAAGCAAAGCTCGGTCGGTACAGTGTGGGTTGAGGGGAACGGTATGTGGTAGTGAAGGAGCAAAGCACTTGAGCACTAACAGAGGCACACGCGCTCGCCCCCGTTCTCTATTTCCTTGATTTGGATGCTCTCACCCTGTCCTAGTGGCTATCCTTCCGCCCATAATTTCCTTTTCCCTTTTATTTCGCTTTCAAAAGTCCCAGAAAAGGCTTTTACCAGATGTTTTGTACATGAAAAATGTGGTAGCAAGTGAACCATTCTATACAAGGTCGTACCCAGAATTTCAAGGAGGGGCTGAATCACTTAAAGGCCTGTCTCCAGCACCGCGGACAATTCCTGCCAGGATGATGCATTGACATGAATTGCTACATGCTACATGCTAAATACTTCTCTTAAATACTTTCTAGTGAGAGAATTTTTCATACATTTTCCAATAGTTTATTATAAAATTAATTTCTAATAGATCTTAAAAAAACAAAACAAAAAGATTATGTATTCTAAAATCAGATTCTCACATTCTGACAATAATTTCATTACATATGTATGTATGTTCATATTCATCATTTAATTTTTCCCATTTATATCAATAAAGATATCGACTTATTAATCTATTTTATTTTAATCATTGATAATTATCATATTTTGATGGCACATTGCGAAGCTCGACCTCTTTGTCGTTCTTGTTAGATAATTAAATGATTTAAGGTTTTTTGTTGTTGGTTGTGTGCAGCCATGTAGACATCATGTAGAGAATTTCATCCCTGTGTAGTTGTCATGTTGCAAAACTAATTCAGTTTTGTTGAAATTTGTTGTTCTACATTATTTTTCATAAGCAATTTAATAAAAGGGAGCATTTAAAATTAATCAATCTTGTAGACAATGAATAAATTTATCGGATTAAATTATATTTTTAGCGATCAGGGTACTAGATAGCTAGTAATAGGAAACGGAATATCAAAATCGAGGAATGTAATTTTCGATTAGTGTGAACTTATTTAGTTCGTTCACAGCAGTGAATAGTATTGTTTTTTGATTAGTTCGTTCATGAACGACGTATTCATAGCGACCGACGCAATTCGAAAATAAAAAACAAAAAATACGAAATTGTCAAATCTGACATAAAAAGAGATATGAAGGAACAAAGCAAAGACACTAAGAGAACGGGAATTTATCGACTCAGGGGGGAAATCACCGACTTGCGGTTGGACATCAAGCTGCGGCACCTGAGCGAATGGCTGCCAGTCCCAAAGCTGGACTACGCTGGAGCCGCAGTCTATAGCACTCCCCCAGCCAGCAGCAGCACCGATGACTTCGGCCCGGAGATCTGGAGCGACTGCTTCATCTTTGTGCCAACGTGCGACGATCCCATCTTTAGCCAGGGCTATGGTAAGCAGGCCTACTACAACTATTACTATCCGGCCAAGGGCAGCTCGAGCAGCTTCCGACGCAGTTATAGCTCATTGGCTAGTTCCCGGGGACAATTACCCACTTCGGTCAGCTCCCGACGCAGCTACAGCACATTAGCCAGTCCCCAGGGACACGTATCCACTACGGCACGCTCGTACGACCACACGCAGGAGCCAGTGCCAGAGCTTGAGCTGAAGCAGGATCGCCTTGCAGAGACGGAGACTGAGACGGAGAGCCAGGAGCAGAACAAGTGGAACGTGATCAGTGAGGCCGGTCGGGCTTTCTACGCGCTCAACAAGGAGCTGTGCAACGGGTGCACGGCCAACCTGCAGATTGCCTGGCAGCAGAAGCACTTTAGTCGCGCGGAGCTGGAGACCTACGGCCAAGTGCGAGCCGCTTGCATTACGAAGCTGCAGCATCGCTACCACCGCTGGGCCCAGGACATCTTCCAGCTGCAGCAGCTCCATCTACAGCTGGAGGAGCAGCAGCAGGAGCTGGCGAAGAAGGAATTGGCGCATGTGCACCGCAAGATACGAAAAACGAAGCGCTGGCGCAGTGAGTCATCCAGGATGTCGTGGTTCCCCAACGGGAGTAACTCCTCGGCGTCCATGTCCCAGGTGTCGTTCGTAGAGGATCCGAACTTCGCGGCCCGCACCTGTCTCATCCACACGCTGATAGATGCGGACGGCGAGGAGAACCTGCCAACAGAAGCGCGTCAGCTCCACGCCGACGGCTTTCAGGTGATGTACGTGTACGCCGACCTGCAGGAGGACACTCTGCTTGTGACCCTCCGGTACTCACCTGCGCTGGGGCTGCTCTACGTCTATCCGGACTTCACCTGCAGCGCCGACGACATGGACTACGAGTTTGTGATCGACAGGGTCGACGACTGCCGCCAGCTCTACTGCTACGGCTTCCAGAGCGTCTCGCCGCTGGAGGCGGTGGTCGACGTGGAGTGGAACCTGCGGATGGAGACCATTCTGCTGAATAACCGGAACGCAGAGGACCACCAAGGGAAAGAGGAGCACGTGCAGTCGGATGAGAAAATTCCTTTGCCAGCGAATTCCACCTCGCAGGAGCTTCTTGACTACTTCCAGCTCCAGCGGGACCTCGCCACGGAACTGCGTGTCCTAAGACACTTCGAGACGCCGCCCAAGCGGATGCGCTGCATCTCCCTGCTGCTGAATATACAGGAGGCCCAGCACTTCGAGCACCCAAACATCCATGTGCGTTACCACATCCAGCCGCCTCCTCACACCCTTGTGGAGACGATGGCCACCGGCAATAATCCGTTCCCGTTGCGTGGCGCCACTGCCACCTGCCAGGGCGCGGGCGATGCCCGTTGTGCTCACCTTGCGCACTGCTGGCAGCTGACGCTGCTCTGCGAGGAGCAGTTCGATCCCGTCCACCTGCTTCACGTCTACTTCGAGGTAATCAGCATAGACGGATGGCAGCGCGAACGCTGCGAGGGCTATTCCCACTTCGCCTGCTCCCTGGTGGACCCGCTTCCGCCGTCGTCCAGTGAAGGCCTTCGGCTGCCGTGCATACGTCCGCTGGGCAGCTGGCTGGACACCCTCAACCGCTACTTTATTGGCGGCCGCCAGAACTTCGACTTTGTGGCCTACTTCAGGGGCCGATCCAAACCACAATCCAGACTCAACACGCGCCTCAGTCTGGACACCGCAAATGCCATGCGGAACACTGGGTCGCTGCTCTTTCGCATTCGTAAGCTGCAGCAGCGCCAGCCGGAGTTGCTGCTCCAGATGAAGATGCAGCTGGGCCTGAAAAGCAGCGAGGAAAGCAAGACGGACAAGACTTCCACGCTGGACGAGGTGATAGCTGCCTTTGTGCAGGCAAGGGATCGCATCCGGGCGCTCTTGGCCTGTTCCGTTTCGTATTTTGCTTCAATGCAAAAACTGACTTAGTCCAAAAACTGTTCACTACGATTCGTAAACGCAATAGAAAATAAAATAAGATTACCACTACCACTTAGCCCATTAAATACAGATGTTGCATATTTATGTTGAAAGTAAGTTTGACGGGTAACTAGATACCTAAAGGATTTAATGTTTAGTACTAAAAAGGGATACTTTTTTGGCGTTGAAATCGTTTATACAAAAAGAATAACACGAGTAATATAATAGAAAACAGAACCAAACCCAATGCTCTACACATACTTCCAAAGGGAACTTGTTCTCTGGTAGGGGCACTTTATGTTTAAGTGCCTCAAAGGATGGGGTAGGCGTCTCGCTAGCTTACTGCGGTGTCTGGTCAGCCTTTCGCTGTATCTGCCTGTGTGTTGTCCAATCTATTCCTCCACTGCGTGCTGATTTAGGTCTCGATGTAGGGTAAAGGCTCGTGATTTGTCGCATAGAACGATTCTTTAACACAAGTCAGTTGAAACACTTCTTCTTAATATGTTTTTCCATCAGACCTACCCGCAACTTCTTTGAAGTTACATTTTCTAATTGAGCTCTTCTCACACATGCGGGGTCCTTGGTCTCCGTTCGCTTGGACCCCACCAACTTCGCTTATACTTAACCTACTCGTACATATGTAACTCTATTTTAAAGCCATTCTATGCTAGCTCTGTAATAGCTCTAGCAAACACAAATCAAACAGTAACCAAAGAGAATATGAAACTGAAAAAATTAATCAATCAAAACGATTTAAACTATTCTTGATTCAGTTTCCACGTCCCTTGGCTCGAAATGGCAAGAAAACTCAGAGACCTCTATATTCCATGCTAGCGCGACAAGCATTTTGCATACTTATAAATTAGGTCGCCAGTCACAACAACTGGTAATACTCTTTATGGAAGAGAAGACACTCTAGAGTTAGTTTAGCCATTTTATTTACTACTAATATCACTCAGTGTATATACATAGATTTGTTTCTTTTCTTTTGTCGGGTTTTGTGTTTGTGTGTGTGTTGTTGTGTGCTCGTGTGTGTGTGTGTTTGTGTGTGTGAGTGTGGTGTAGATATACATTATATATCAGTATATATAGGTATAATATCATACTATATCGTGCATTGTATATAACACTAAAAAATGATAAAAAAAAAATTTAACTATCTCTTTACTCTGGTTGTTGTTGGATGTGTGGTTCCCGTTGGAGTTGCACTTAAACCTAAATACTTGCAGCTGTGAGTGGAAAGCAGGGGAGTGGGAGCGGGGATTAGGGATTGAGAAGATAATGGACTTGGGATTCGTATGGATCCCTATGCCACGGGTAGGTACTGGCGCGATGGCGTCACCAGCTGCACTTTGGGTGCCTGGTAATCATAGCCATTGCCGTACTCATTCACGTCAGCAAATCCATTGCCATTTCCATTTCCAAATCCATTGCCGAAGGCTCCGATAGCATTGCCGTAGTTGTCGCTGGACTGCGTCTGTCGGACTCCGCCGTAGGGGGAGCTGAAAATCTGGCCGCTGGCCCCATCCTTCTGGGGCGTGTAGCTGTAGTCATCCCCGCTCTGGCCGCTGCCGCGCAGTGGACTGGCCTGCTCAGGGTTTAGGCTCTGCTGCAGGAACTGGAAGCGGTTCTTGTTGCCCAACAGGCTGCTGGCATCTACGGCGGGCCTCTGCCCAGCTGGGGCCAACGGCTGGGGCCTGCAGGCACACACAAATGTCACACGATAAAGAAATCTGCTTTCGAACTCGGGCAAGACGTTTAAACTTACTCGGGAATGTCCAGATCCAGTTCTGTGATGGGATGATAGCCGAACTCATCGGCTGTGTAGCGGGTCTTGTATCGCTTGCCATCGGCGCCAGTGAAGGAGTACGATCCACTGACCACAAAAGTCTTATCGTCCTTCAGTTTTCCCACGCTGCTCACCTCAATGCCGTTCTGAGTCTTCAGTCTGTGGAGGGAATGGGAAAAGGGAATTGTGGTCTTAGCACAGCTGCAACGATAAACCTTCCATTTTACTCACTCCAACTTGAACTTCTTGCCGGAATTGTAGTTCTGCAATTTCTCGGTTTTAGCCTTCATCACATCTCCGCTAAAGTGCACCGCCGGCTTGTCGTCGTCAATGTCCTCGGGCAGGGTGTAGATATCGCTGGGATTGTACTTAAATAGATCCAGATTTCGGTCCGTCAGATGCTTCACATCGGCCATCGCCAGCACCGCCAAGCAGACCAACAACAACTGAAAAATGAGGAGCAGAAAACAAAAATTAGTCCAATGAAAATCGATCGGGAAAAGTCTGCATTTATCCACAGATATATCTATGCACATGTCCATATCGCACGGCATAAATTACTGACAAAATGGCTGGCAGCTTTTTCAGTTAATGTTTTAATTTAAGACGAAGTCTTTTGCATTTAGCATTAGCGGGCATTAATCAAAGTGGCGAGCGTTTTGCCAGCGCTTGAGTTCGCGCATCAGTCGCGCTGTAGCCGCTTTGTTTAATTTTCCTTGACAGTGCGACGTCATCGTTGCAATGTCTAGAGCGTTTCTTGGGATTTTTGTGTTGCCAGCCGTAGATGGCTAGGTAATACTTCTATTTGATTTATTTTATTTGGTTTTGGGACTATATGCTTTAAGCGTTTCAATATTTGTCATTCGACTGTTTTCTCTCTTCTGACCGATGAAGGGTTGAGCTGAGCTGCAGCTCAAAGGTAATAGATCGATATCTTGATAGAAAGAAAACGTAAGCTTTTCCATTTAAATTGAAAGCTTTCATTCTTATTGCATTCCATTCCATGGCCATAGTCTACCCTATAAGATTTTTCTCTCAATTATTTACAAATTTTTCATGGAGTTCCACTCTGAAGGACAATGCAATAAATCTTTTTGGTTTTCACTTTCACTGCATCCTTTTTTCACATGCGGCACCATAAAAAAATGTTTTATTTTAGCATCTCTTATTTAATTTTGTCTCTGTTTCTCCTTTTTTTTTTTTGTTGTCGGGCACTTACAAAACTCTTCATATTTCTTTGAGCGGGTTAATGAAAAAATTCAAAACGAGGATATCGCAAGCTAAACTTAACGGATCTGGCTTTGAGGGAAATTACACTTTCAGCTTGTAAGCCGTTCCGTTGCGCACAGATTCTAGCAAATAAATACAACCGATGCCAACGTCTCGTTTCCTTTATATACTCGTATGATCAGCAAAACGGTTTGCTGGAGAACGAGAAAACGAAAAAGAAGCAGCAAGCAAAGACAAGACGAAGCAGAAAGCGAATGGAGCTAAACCGGACAAGAAGAATTCTGCTTGGGATGCCGGCGCGTCGCCCAGTCTCTGCCACTTTGGCACTCTCTATTGTGCTTAGGAAAAGGCGCTGCTGCTGCGCACGTGTATCACAGTGTTTGGCACTAATAAAATTCTCCTTTTTGCCTGCTGTATTTTGCACACAAGCGCAGTGCAAACCTGTGAGTGTGTCTGTGCCGACCACTGATGTAGAATGATGTCTGTTTGTCATCTTTCAGAGAGGAGGGAGGAATTAGGCTTGATGGTGGGAAGGGAAGGGGCTTATCTTATATCCATATATGAATCGGCACTGAAGATGTAACGTTCTAAGACCGGCCATCGTTTTTTTGGTGGTTTTTGTGTGCCTCGAAGGCACATTCGATCGCTTCGGACAGTTCCGACGGACCCCACATGAAAATCTGGTTTCGAGCAACAAAATTAGAAAACCGCCATCATCGAATTAGCATACAAGTTTAATGATGGTTTTTTTCGCCTCTTCTTTTGGTGCCCGAATCTCTACGAATACGAGTAAATGCGTAAATTTAAATGTACGTTAATTTTTTGTAAAGCATGGAATACGAGCCGATATAAGACACATAGTAACGGGGCGGGGGTTAGGGTGGACGCTACACGGAGAGCGATAAAATATGCGTCGATTCACGATTAAAGATTTGACCAGGTACCAGTTTCGACGGACTGTGGACCGTAAACAGTAAACCATGGATATTTCTGTTGAATGAACCAAAGCGTCCCAAATACTGATTATGATTCTAAGCAAGATATCGAGATAGCCAGATTTGAATGCGCTTAGCATATTTGATCTATCATCATAAGATGTTAACGATCATCATCAGAGATGGTGACTTTCATTACGATCAACGTCGTAGAGACACCATTCTTATATGGTCTCAGATCTCGTTAAGTATTCGCTTGATTAAGCGTTCCGTTTCGGTCTTATCATATTTATCAACTTTTGTACTCTACTCTACTCTACTCTACAATCTGGTAATTATCATATCTTATCATCGTCGACAGGTCTGCTGCTGTCTCTACGAGTATGCCAATTCCCAAGTTTTTACCGCTTGCTTAGAGGTGGAAATCGTTGCAATATTCGTACAGGGTGAAATCATGCAAGTATCTACGATCATTGGAGACGCATTTTTGCTTGGAATTTCATTCAAGAAGTTTAATCATTTGAATAATTTTTACTTCCAATATCGAACATAAATATATAGATTCAATTAACAAATTTTTCTATGGTGTGCTGTGGTACTTTTGGGAACTATGAACTTTCAAGCACAGATGCAGCACTTCAAAAGTCCTTGGCATTCAATTGTTATGTCTTCAGGCAGTAGATCAACAGATCGCACAGATCTTTCATTACCATCAGCGATGGAGAGTTGAAAATACAATAAATTGAGCTAGACATAAATCGACTGGATGGATTTGGAATCAAACCTGACCGGACACGCAGCTCTAATGATAATCGCTAATGGTGCCTTCAATTTTAGTTTTATGCTTAATAACTTAAGCGAATGCCACACGGCATTCATTTTTCATTTAAAAACGACGAAACCTCCAACAGCCTTTGGGCACCACAGCCCACCAGCAGAAGCAGACGTCTCTCTGTGTCGCTCTGTGCCGTGGCTAGATTCTTCTTCTGGTTACGCGCTGATCTGCTTAGCTAATAAAAACGTTTTGGCCATTTCAACAGCTTCTCAACGGGGTCCGTTCGTTGATGATGGCTTTTGCCTTGGAAAATATCTGTATACGTTCTATGTCTTTGATATCAAGTTTGCTATGCATACTTGCATACATGCCCCAAAGCTAATATTGGATTGGAGTCGAGTGAAGTGAATTGATTAGACATGATGTCTCACTTATCCCCAAACGAGTTCTCCCACTGTCCGCCTAAGGGAGTGGCCCCTTGTATGACTCACCATCTTTATAGTCGTGCATAAAATGTTTCATCTGCTGCCGCTGTTTCGTAAGAGTTCCCAGTAAAAGCCTTTGTGTCGCTGCATACGCCGGATAAATTATTATCAATTTTACGAAATTTTGAAATTTGCATAGCGAAAAGAAAGTGTTTCATTTGGCTTTTTTAGTCCCCTAATTTTATTATTATCGATCTTTGTGCGTAGTTTTACGAGTATTTCTTTGGCAAATTAACATATCGAACCACTTATTACGCAGCCACCAGTTCCCTCGCTTCGCTGTCCGTTTAAAAAAAGTATAAAATAAATAAATAAATTAGCAATTATAAGGAAACAGAAACGAGATTTCCAAAAACCAAAACACTCCATTGTGTTCTATTCTGCTATGTGCTGTTCTGTTCTGTTCTGTTTGATTCAGATCAGATCAGACCAGACTACCTTCTCTCTCTTCTTCGGCCCTGAAATCGACTGCCCTTAGGAGGCACTGCGGGATCCATTATGCTTAAATTTTGTAGACTCGAGAGCTGTGGCATAAAGAATATACTGAAATCAGGCCCTAAATTAGAACAACGTGACTAAAAATCATCAGCAGAGCGTTAAACTGCGAAAATGGTTCTTCTGATCATCAGACGCCGACTGAGAGGCAGCCTCATTGGGCTCTTATATATATATCAATGAATAAATTCGGTTCCCTTTGTTAATTTTTCTCTTCACAAGAAATTTTTTTACCATTTGTCTGGCCTTTTGCATTCCAGAAGTACACATGTACATAAATTTTAAAAATCTAAATATCTTTCTTTAATCTCTTTCATTATCTTTCCATTGTCTTTTGTAGTATTCAATTCTAGAATTAAATCATTTTTATACCCGCACTCGAAGAGTTAAGGGGTATATTATATTTGGGATCGAAGTGTATGTGTGTAACGCAGGGAAGGAAACGTTTCTGACCCCATAAAGGACATACATATGTTTATATATTTTTAATCAGCAACAATAGCCGAGTCTGTCTGAGCGTCCGTATTTCTGTCCGAACTGTTTGACGCCTAATTCTCAGAGACTATAAGAGCAAGAGCAACTAAATATTGTTTTCTGACTCATGTGATATCACACTGAATCAAGTTGGTTTCAAAATTTTTTTACGCCTCCTTCCGTCTTCACAAAGAAAAAAAATCTGTGACACCCACAATTTTGAAGAAAAGCATTGTTTTAAAGAATGATATATAATATATCTGTTATCGATCGCTTGGAACACTACACTCCCATCCTCTCACTTTGAAGCTGGCTCATAGGTTTAGTTCAGACGCTGTTTGAGGTCCGTATTCCTGTTCGCTCCGGCCGACACTCATTTGCATGGGGACACATGCACGAGCCCCATTCCATTCTAGTCCACTCCCCTCCTTTCCGATCCGATCACTCTGTCCTATCGGATAATCTTGATTTCTTTTAGGTGACAGCTCGATTCTGGATTTGGCGAACGCGGATTGTCGTTATTGGAGCACGTTCAGGGCGATGATTGAATTTGAATGGAATAATCACATAAGAGATCTGTTATGGCTGCATGTGGTTCCCCGCTGCCGTTCCCAGCACACCCCTGAGTTCAATGAGGTTCTGAATCAGAGATCTGGTTACCTGCTGGTGTGGCTGCTTCTGTCTGTTGTCGACAGTTCTAAACCATAAACAATAAGTGGCTAAATCATATCTTATAGCCAACTTAAGGAAATGCTCGCACAGCTACAGTTCGGCGACTGCCAAATATTCATTCTTAGCGTCAAGAATCGAATCCGAATACCATCCCAGCCGACAGACAAGACAATCCGGACGAGCGATCCAACTAAAACGAGTTGCGATCAGGTTCTCTGTGGTCTTTGACCGGTTATGCATATTTCCCCGAGCCACCAGCACAGCACCACAGCACTACTGCCAATCGCGCAAACGCTCCTTTTTTTTATGACTCTTTTCTACAATATTTTTTAGGTGTTTTATCAGTTTTATTTTTTATATATTATTGTATTTGTGTTATAGCCAAGAAATAAATAATCAATGCAAATTTGCATAGTTTAAATAGAAAGCTAAACACGTTTTGCTTTTACCCTAAAACGTTAAGTTTTATGTCTCTTTGTCAGTCAGTTCCCCGTTTTCTACCTTCCCTTTTCGCTTGTCTTGTCCCTCTGTCTATCATTTTATCTATCTTTGAAGTTTCTGTTGAATTTCTTAAAGTATAAAAAATACCAGTTTTTTTTATTTTAAGCAATTGTTTTGGCTTCCCGATCATATAGTATCTGTTTGACTTTATTTATGCATACAGTGAAGGATATTTTCTATAAGTATACATAAATCTGCCAGATTATAGAGTGTCCTTCCTTATGAGGTCTTGAAGTATATTTGTGCTACAGAAAAACAAGTGATAATGAATGATAAATTGCTAACAAACGAATCAAAGACAGAACTCACCCTATAACGAACAGCACAGGTGAATTTTTTTTCATTATTACGCCCGTACTCAAAAAAGAGTTAAGGGGTATATTAGATTTGTGGTAAAAGTGGATGTGTGTAACGCAGAGAAGGAAACGTTTCCGACCCCATAAAGTATATATATTCTTGATCAGCATCAATAGCCGAGTCGATAGAGCCATGTCTGTCTGTCCGTCTGACCGTCTGTCCGTCTTGTTTGACGCCTGGATCTCAGAGACTACAAGAGCTAGGGCAACCAAATTTGGTTTCCAGACTCATGTGATATCATACTGCTACAAGTGTATTTCAAAATTTCGCCCCGCCCTCTTCCGCCCCCACCAAGAACGAAAATCTGTGGCAGGCGCAATTTTAAAGATACGATAAAACTAAAAACGCGTTATCGTTGAGAATGACCATATCTACCAGACTGCCGAATCTGAATTAGATCGGATCATAATTATAGCCAGAATGAAGAAATTAATTTTCAGTTGCTT